TGATGAGGATTAGTGTGTAGGATTTTAAACAGGATTATAAGTCTGCATGAAACTAGAAACAGTGGGCAAACAGACCAAACCAATACTTTATTTTAAAAAGTTTTATTTTGCAGATTTAGAAATTTGAGTTTTAATAACTGCAAAAGAAATTCAGTCACACCTAGTGATTAACAGAATGTAGTGGTGTATTATCTAAACAGGAATCGTGCTGATGTGCCATAATAAATTGTCTATTAGTAAAAAAAATACACTTTAGGGCACAGCATTGTATCACAAATTACAGTAGGGATACTTTGCAAGAATTTAATCAAACTAGAGAATTCTGAGTAACTGTATCTTTTAAATGCAGCACTTAAAAATGTAACAACTCTGTGCATTCTTTTTCTTAAAAAAATGACCTTGTGTGTCATAGAAATGCTGCTTTATTGCTGCAGAGGTCAAAGTTCAAGGCTCAAGAGGTACAGGAGAGAATACAAAGGTAAGTCTTTAGAAACTTGGTTTTGTTTATGTATAAAAAAGGTAAAGTTTATAAAAGTTAATTTACAAACCAAGAACAAAAGTGGTATGCACGCGTTATGTACAAGTATCCTTAAAACATCAAAATTTTCAAATGCATAGCCAAAAAGAACAGAAAACAACCACTGCTCCTTTAAAAAAAAATCCCAAATCACACCATTATTTTCTTTTTGGTAGTATACATTTCTGAAACCACCAATCCACAATTTACTCAATCTTTTTCATGATACAGTATCTAGATGTACACAAAAGCCATAAAAACTTAGTAATACACAGAGAGAATGATCTAAGAATTAAAAACATGAGGGTAAGGCATTCCTGCTGGTTAGTATGTCTGTGGTGATATGATTAATTTATAGATTCAAAGAGGCCATGGAACCAGTCTCACATGCTTTGGTGTCCTTCCCTAAGAAAAATGTGTGTTCATATACAATAAGTAATTGTCTTCACTTGACTCCCCTCCCCCCCAATTATAAATTCCCCTTGCTGTACATTTCTGTTAAATCCACTATACTCGTTATATATTCCAGGTGTATTTTAAAAAATGTGTACATATTACCTCATGCATAATAAAATAAAATGTGTACGTATGCTAGACCAAGGCCATAATAAAGTTTGAAACAGTGTACTTTGGAAAGAACAGAACTCAAATGCACCCCCAATTTACCAGCTGGTATTTTAACGGAAATCAGTATGTGAAGTCAAGCAATGACCATAAAAAATTACAAAAATCACAAAGCAAAATATCTTCGAACCTGTAGCCAACATCAGCAGTTCATCAATCACAAACATGCGGTTTGCAGCATGTTTCCTGACCATGGTTCAGGGGTGTGCTCACTAATCTTCAGCAGTTCAAACAAACGCTTAATACTAGCAAATTATAGCATCAATTCTAAGGAAAGTATAATACTTGATAAAGTGGTTCCATTTAGCTTTAGTAAGTTTAACCCAGTTTCACATTATTTAATCAAGTTCCTATATTTTAAGAGTTAAAAGTGGTCAATCAGGACAGAAACACAGTTTGCTCCAACAAGGTAATTTGGATCTCCAGGAAGACACTTGTTTTGCCAGGTTTTAGGATCACCTATGAGAGAAAAAGAAGTTGATGTCACTTACAGTTGGTGAAAGTGCTCTCCCTAATGCTCTGCAGTCACGGGGCAAATACAGATACAGACATTTAAGACAAAGTTTCCTTCTATTTCCTTAGCATATCGTACTTACATCAAAACTCACAGTGCTATGTTTCAATGGAGACTTGCTGGCACAGAGTTATCCAAAAGCTATTTCAGATTTTTCTTTTATTATGTTATCAAGTCCACTGACCTTTTCAAAAAATGACTAAAAGGGCAACCATATGGGACAGTGGGACAGTCCTAGTTTGCCTTTGAGTCTGCATAATTATTATTTATTTAGAGACAGGGTCTTGCTTTGTTGGCCAGCTGAGAGAGAGCAGAGGCAATGATCACAGCTCCGTGTAGCCTTGAACTCCTGGGCTCAAGAGATCCTCCTGCCTCAGTCTTTTGAGTAGCTGGGACTACAGGTGTGGACAGACCACTGTGTCTGGTTAATTTAAAAAAATTCAATTTATTTTATTTTTTTTATTTGTTTTGAAATGGAGTCGCTACCTGTTGCCCTGGGTAGAGTGCAGTGGCGTCACAGCTCACAGCAACCTCAAACTCGTGGGCTTAAGTGATTCTCTTGTCTCAGCCTCCCAAGTAGCTGGGAATACAGGTGCCTGCCACAACACCTAGCTGTTTTTTGGTTTTAACTGTAATTGTTGTTTTGGT